AATTCCGTCTCTACGCATCCGGCGCACTTACACCTTAACATCTTTTCCATCTTGTAATAAACTGCAAAGCCAGTATTTGGTTGCTGTATGGGGTTCACAGGGCTTTGTTTTGTTTAATTTTTCATTCCACTAGCTCATGTGTTCACCTTTTTATTTGTCTTGCTATGAAAATAAAGCCTTTAAACCAGCTTCATTAAAAAGGCATCAATTTTTTGCAATTCACACTAGCTTATCATTTTAGGGTAAGAATTTAAAGTTTTTGGCAGTAGGACTGTAATTGACGCAAGTACTTTTCGAAGACACATTGAAAACTGTCAAGTGTGCTTGGAGGTATCTGACAGTGATAGCGCTTACCCCTCAATCCGAAACCTGCCTAAATCATCAAAGTAGAGGCTACGCACTTTGAACTTTGCCACTCCGCTTCTGTCTACACCCGTACTTGACACACCTTGATCGCTCCCTTCAAATGACAAGTAGTCATCACAAAATCGTCTTAGAGACTAAAAAGTAGAATAGAAACTTTTTGTCTTTCCTTCAACCTTCTACAATGAAGACTAAATAGCAACTGTCAGCATACAGCTTCACTAATTTTCTTATCTAAAATGTCATAATAAAAAAGAGAAATTGGTGAATGCATCGCTTCTTTCTAAACGACAGTATCAGATCAGACGATTGTTTTTGTAATAATCCAATTTTAAAATCCTTAGAAACGCGCGTTTCACAAATCCTAAAAGCCTATATGTCTGTCTCTTGTGAGCTTCCCACGGGAGGCTTAAGAAGAGAAGAAAATAAACGAAAAACCTAACAGAAAATATTTTTAATGAAATTTACTTTGATAAGGAAATAGTGAGTTTCTTTTACAGACGCAGAAATAATTGCAGAGCAAACATAAGGAAGAGCATCAGAAAGACGTTGCTGCCTACAATGGTAAGGAAAATTGAACAAAGTTAAAACGTGTCCACCTCGAACGACAGTGATGTGATGCAAGGCATGGAGAGCAGAAGCAAACTCTACCTACGAGCATCATTGAAGCACCAGAGAGCGAATTCAAGCCCTTGGAGTATCGGTCAAACTGTTTCAACACATCCATTGAAGGCAGGTATTTGACGAATGGTGCAACACGGTACACATCACTGTCAACTACGTTCGGCTTGTAAATCTTCAGCAGAAGGCAGATGAGAGCGTAGACATCGACCTGGTAGAACACCGGTACAGTGCCCAGATTTCGAATGCCCGGTCCCATGGCGACAATGAAGGGATGCATGTCAGGTTCGGAGTTGTTGTAACCGTGCATACCATCTGTAGCATTACAGATCAGTGGTTACTCATTCCAGCGGTGCCGCTGGATGTGAAATGAACTGCCATCCACAAGTAGAAGACTTACTGAGGGCATCCTTGTATGGATTAGTAGGATAGGTTTGATCTATCCGACCAATATGTGGAAGAACAACAACCTGGGATATTGGCCTTTTTTCCTTAAAAGGGTATTTATCGGATATGCCTCAATCATATAGGGCTTTTAATAGGTAGCAAATTTCATCCTTCTGTGGTCCTTAACTCGTGTTGCTCAACAACATCAACTAAGCAGATGCAAATTAATGCAAAATAATTGAAGTAGTCTTTGAATAACCCTTTGAAATTAAAATGTGTTGTCAACCAAGTCATAGCATTTGACAGTGCGAGTGGTTGCAAGAGCAAAATTCGTTGTGAAAGTGAATGTGAACATCACATTCTTAACTTGTGTTTTGCGAAAGCCCTCTTTAGCTATTCTACGAAAAGAAAGATCTTTTTGCTATTATAAACCGCATATTAGACGTAGCCATGATGGAAGCTATTAGGAGACATTAAAATTACTTTTTGTTATTGGCAGAATTGCGAAAACACTAATGACAATGTAATACGATAGTGGTTTACCCCTCAGTACTAATGAGGCGCCACCCTTGTACTTTTAATCAGCCCCCTTGTACCTTGCTGGGTGGGCTGGCCTTTTGGACCATGACAATAGCCCAGACACCTTCTCTGCGCTGAATAGATATTCTGCCCGAGTATTTTGTCTTCCTTCGTCTTCAGGGGATCTGCGGGACGCTACAACAAAGCAATTGTATTTTGTACAGAAAATTGAAATTTGTGACATTCGACTAAACGAATGATTGGTGTTGACGGAAAGTAAACATTTAGGCCAAGAAAATCACCCATTTCTAATTACTTTTTCTTTATCAAACCAATGTTGGATAAGTATTGGCGAGAAAAGTGTCAGTCTGTAAAACACTTAGGTTTTAAGTGGCCACTGCACCAAACTTCTGCTGAATTCGACTTTGCAGTATTTGGCTCCAAGTCACTTAAATTACCTTCTTTAACTAACTAAAGTTCATATAAAATAGGCATTTGCTGTGTTGACTGCAGTGTTAGACAAAATTCACTTTTCCGCGTCTAAAATTCTTGGTGTACAGAGTTTATGGTTTAAAGATAATTTGTAAATAAAAAAGTTATAAGTACTATCATCCCTACATCCGGAAGACAGAATTTACGCGATTTCCAACCCAACTGTAAGCAAGCACTATCCATTTGTCTTTTGTACATCATAGTTTGTATAAACTTTACGAGCAAAATTTTATTTTGTCTTGTAAACTTTCCATTGGAGCTTAATAAAGGATTCCCTCCTATTACCCAAAACCGACTCATCTTGTTCACTCCTCTCTTCTACCTCTTCAGCTCCGGAACTTTGCGCAGACGTTAAGTTGGCAAAAGTATCTTACACTTGTGTAGTGTAATGATTCTACTGATTGTTTTTTTCCTCCTTGGGGATCGGTAGCGATATTTTTTCTACGAGGTTCACGTAAAGCAGCTGATTGTCTCTTAAAGGGTACAATCAAGTCAACATGTAATGCACCAGTCACATTACTTAAAGATGGATAGTATCACGCATAGGTTATAATCTATTGTAATTTGTCCCGCATTAATTTGAAGACATTTTGTCTTTACAAAAAGGTTCTACTGACTTAAAACTGTGCTGATTGAATAAGGAACTTTAAAAAACAAAGAATTTAAGTAAACGGTTTGTGAACACATCAATATTAAAAGGTACAGAAATCAAGGTGACAGTGGTCAGTTCCTAAGTTTTTTCATCATGAATTCAATGCGACATTTCTTCCTATTCACGATGAGGAGATGAAAAAACCAAGTAAAGCATGCATTTATGGAGGGGCAAATACACGGATAAGTAAGCAAAGAGGACGCCACAAAGACAGATAGTCAGTCAAAGGTCCAGACAGACAGAGAGATTATGGTTAGATTGATGAATGGGCTGATGGTTAAATAGATATGCAAGGAAAGAGGGACTGAGGTCAAAAACCTAGGTGGATGAGACAGATATTTGTGTAGAAAGGTGTGCAGGTGGATAGATACAGGATGGGTGGGTGGATAAATGGACTTAAAAATATCACCCTCATGTTGTATGCAGTTGCCATCACATACTACAGTAAATTAAGCGCATGCTTGGTATGAATTTTTGCCTAGTTAATGTATTAATACCCATCAAGCAGCCATTTGGACCTTTTTTTATTTGTCAGTTCCTGTTATTCGGTAAAGATAGAATTATATGAAAAGATAGAGCGGCACTGGACTAGTTCCATCTTCACAGGATACTTCCAGTTGGGCGTCTAGAGAATGCTCTTATTTATTAGCATCTTGCTAACGTACAAGGCTGCAAAATGTCTACTTTGGAATTCTTCAAACTTGTCCACGAAACCTTATTCATACTTTAATATTTTTAAGGCAATTAATAGTTGTCATGATTACATGATAGCAAAAATTTGGCACTATTTTGCTTCAGTCGCACAGAACTTGTTTCCTGAAGAGCGAAATTTATATGTAAAATCTAACCCTTTGATCATCAGTAGTCCCCAGTGAAAATATTTTTTGCTCCGTACTGTGGCTAGCATTGAATTTAAAGCAATATTTCGTCATGGGATAGCAGCCTAGGAGATTTTGACCATATTTTGTATGCTGCGCATTATTTAACTTTAGATTTTATTCAGTGGCTTTCTAAATGCGAAAGAATAGTGACATTTTTTATTATATACAACTCCCTTTAAGTTGCCATCACCACTTAGCGTTGCATTATGTGGGAAAGTGCACTTTACAAGGCTAATAAAATAAAATTTACTGAGGGACATTTGTTTCATTTGGATTGCTCTAGATAATTAACTGTTCTCTCCAATGGGCGTCTGCTGGAATCTCCTCGGCTAGGGTGGTACGGATCATATGACAATGCAAATACAAAGAGAAGTCTATCAAGTCAAAGTGAATCCAAGCGCTTTTTTTAAAGTACAGATATTCATGGTAAACTTCTAAATGATTCTCGTTCGGTAAGGCTGCAAATAAACATTCGACGGGCCTCTATCAACTTACTTTGGTCCAACATGGACTCATAGTATGATTTTTGTACATTGTCAGTAGTGATAAACAGTAATGGTTGCCGTAAATATGATGCTGGAACATAGTGGACTTGCAGGCAAAGTTTAGGTTTCCAAAGATTCACCTTTAAAAATATCAATAGTTCAGTACAAATGAGAAACTGAAGAGTCCTACAAAACTCGGAAAGGTGTATGCAATAATATGAGTAGTTTAATAATCTCACTGCAAAAAGTTTTTTGAGGGGGACTGAACTTTTGCTTAAATGAACTCCTACATTTTAGGTAATTTTAAAATGCAATCCTTAGCGCTTAGGAAGTCAATTACAAAGTACGGAAAAGATTTAGAATAACAAGAATTCTTGCAAAAAGATTTTGCTAATTAAATGAACAGAACCACACCCAGATGTCTCCACAAATGGGAAGTCGAGATTTGTAGAACCACTCAGGTTGCGTCAAGGTACCACTGCCACGTATAAAAGAATTTCAGATGTAGGGTGTCATTATCTCCAAAAATGCTAAGATACACGTTAGTAGGCCACTGTCTGCTCCTCCTCCTCACATTTATCTACTCCGCTTACTGCGCTAATAAGG